TATCTTAAATGGCACCAAAACAGCAAACCTCAAAGAAAGGAGAGCAAAGAAGAGACGAGGCTCGAGCTCAGACTCCGTCCGGAAAAGCTTGAAGCGGATTCAGTTTATGAACCTTACGCCATCCGGCAGGATGCAACGTAGCTAGTAGCCTAAGAGAGTTGTTTATTTGTTTGTATCTTTCCTGACGGGTCAATTCAAATAAAGTAAACTAAGAAACTAAAGTATAAATACATTAATCACTCATAGTTGAGTAGTGTACTTTGTTCATATAGGTTTGATGTGAAGAGTGAAGTTGCGGTCTAGAAGAATAGCAAGTCATTTGTAGGTGGTCATTAGTCAGTTACCTCGGAGTCGGACATGCCCTCTGATAGGAATGACTCGCCTGGGGATAATCATACTTACCCACTGATGATGGGGAAGTGAGTAAATGAGCTACTTTGGTGCAAAGAAGGCTAGCTAGCTAGCCTCGCATCCTTCAGGAGCTTACTCCTTATTCATCTTAGTACCATACATTCATACACCCATAACACACTTCAAGTAAGCAAGCAAGCACCATCGCATGGTCAGTCAGTGAGTTCCCTCATGCAAGGCGTCAGTCAGTCAGTCAGTCAATGCGCGATAAAACCACTAACTAGACTAATTATTTACCTACCTACCAGGTGATCAATCCCTCTTCCTTAGTACATTCCACTCACTAACTCCCCCCTATTCACCCTCCCACCCCCATCACTAACTACCACTACCATCTCCCGGTTATCTTACCGACACACCACTTACCCAACTAGTCACATACATACATACACACTATCCATGCATGTCAGCCAATGCTCCGTCCGCTCCGCTCCACTTCTCTTTTTCTTTCCTCTTTTTACCCTCACGCAGTCTAGTACTTACATTACAATCAAACCCCGGATCCCGAGCAAGCAAGCAAGCAAGCAAGCAAGTAAGCGATTCGCCACTACACTACCCTAGCCAACTAACTAACTAGTCTGTGCCCATGCCTAGACTAGCCTCGCCTATTCATCCGAGCGCCATGGCGAAAAGCCCGAGCCAGTGCTGCAGGAAGCTTGATCTAGTTAGCTAGCTAGTATGATTAACTAGCATGGTGGTATCTATGGTACGGATTCGCTTGGCTTGGCCTTATGGGGAGAGGGGGTGGTACTCCGTTCGTTGTTTATATATTAGGAGTGTTATAGTGAGTATTGCTCCCGTGACACGGTTTAGATCTTAGTAGGGAGTTGTATACATACTTAGGTGCGGAGGTGGCCGATGGTTTACACAGATACAAACAACCTAGGCATGAGGTAGATGAAAAGACAGATTCACATGTTAAGGGAAGAGAGAGAAATGATAACGGGCTTTGATCGGTCGGTCGGGGTTCGGTTCCCCTGAAGTGCACTGCAGTGATTGAATGAATGAATGGATGGAGCCCTGGTTTGTGCACACACTATAAGTGGCTTTGTTATACAGTGGGAACTACTACTTATAATAGGAGGTATCTCCGAGTCAGTCCGAGGGGGGCACGGAGTATAACTAGTCTTGCTCGCTTTGTTATCATGTTTCTATTCCTAGATTGTGTGTGTGTGGCAATGAATATGATTACTACTGTAAGATGGATATTCATATTCATCTCGGACTATCGTATTCCGACATCCGGTTTGAGTCGTGTCGAGTCGGTCCGATAAAGTATCTAGTGGGTGTACTACTCTGACAAAGAGATAGTAATCACTATATATTATTTCGTGTAGTATTAGGAGAACGTTTAGATTGGAGTAGGGTCAATATTGGGCATTTCTCCTCCAATGGATGTGTGGCGATACCACGGTGTCAGCTTTACTTATATATATTTATGATGTGCTGGTTGTGTAGTATTCTGGCATCAAGTTGATACTATCATAATGGTGGTATCTCCGATGCATATTGTAGACGGATACTCCTAATAGTAGCCACATATCCACATCCCCAGTCAGTCCCTACTTATCCACCATATCCACCGTAAACCCATATATATAGATGGTAATATACCATTGGCAACACTTATCGCCACTCTATTCATGTATTAACCAAAGCATCTACCTGCATGTTTCAGTTGATTACTTATCGAGTGCACACCGCCTCAGATCACTACCAACACCACCTCATCTATCTACAGTCTACTACATTCTGAAGATACTAGTATTCATTAAGACAATAATCCCTCCTTCACTACCCAATATCTTCCATCCGCGTAAGAATCCCTGCCAAGCACACCAAGACCCCCAATCATGGATATATGGACATATTATGTCCCTCCGTACGAGCTTGGCAGCTTGGCAAGAAACCCTCATCAATCAATAATTATTATTATATATTCCATCAAATATAGACAACATCAATAAATAAATACCGTACCATACACACATACATACACACATACCATACACCAATACGAACTAAACTAAACTAAACTAAACTCACTACCTATATAAACAAATCTAAATCCGGCACGGAACTCACACCACTACTGCATCAATCGATCGATCACGAGATCGCTGCATTGCTGCATCGCTACTGCAAGCCTAATGTCTCTCTCTCTCCCTCTTTCTCTCTGTCTCTCGCTTGACTCTACCGGCCGAAGGAGAAACCCAAATAAAGGAAGGAAAAAAGTAATTCGCATTCTAAGCTAGTGAGAATTTGGGGGTGGGAAAAGAAAGTCTAGACTGGTCTGGACTCATGCATGCTTGGCGGTTGTGGTTAGGGAGGAATGCTGGGGGCGGGGAAGATGAAAAGGTATTATTTGGGTTAGGCTGGACACATACACATGCCATGCCATGCCTTGCCATGCTATGTTTGCTGTGTTGGGTGGAACTTGAGGGGTCAGGGAAGGGGAATGTTTAGTTGTGAAAGTGGACTGGGGAGGTAAGTAAGTTAGTTGGTAAGAGGTAAGTAAGACTGGGATTCAAGGCTGCGGCGCTGTGGTGGCTTAGGCTGTGGTAGTTTATTTGTCGTCACAGGATCTATCCAGTAATCACTATGTGAATAGACTACTATGCTGCTGCTGCTTCTTCCTCATCCTCCACATAAACATCATACTTGTACTTACTCCCCGGATGATCCGCTCTCAACTCCCTCTGTCCCCGTCCATACACCTTCTCTCTCGCCGTCAACCCTTCTCCCTCCTCATCCTCCGCAACAGCATCAGGATACAGCCCTCTCCTCCTCAACTCCGGCACCAACAACTCCACCACATCCTCAAAGGTCCCCGGAGTAGTCACATACCCCAAATTAAACCCATCCAGATCCGCCTCCCTCACCCACCGTTCCATCTCATCCGCCACCCTCTCCGGACTCCCCACCGCAACAGGCCCCAATCCCCCAATGGCCGCCTTCTCCGCCACGACCCGCGGCGTCCACCGCGGCACGTCCTCGCTCGTGGTGGTGAACGCATCCAACTGACTCGTGACCTTATGCGCCTCTAACGAGTCCGCCGCCGTGATATCCTGATCAATCGGGATCCGACTAATATCAATACCCGTCCACCCGCTGAACAGCACCAGCCCTCCAATCACAGACGCGTACTTCTTCACTTCTTCATACTTAGCGCGCGCTTCCTCGTCCGTCCGTCCGATAATCGGCGTGAACGTCGCGAAGAACTTGATCGACGACGGATCACGCCCTTGCTCGGCAGCTAGACGCCGGATGTTGGCGATCTTGGGCCGCAGGACGGTGGGCGAGTGGCTCGAGACGAATATCGCTTCGGCGTGTGTGGCCGCGAAGGAAGACCCCGCTGCTGAAGTGCCAGCTTGGAAGAGGAACGGAGTCCGTTGCGGGGACGGGTCCACGATGTGGCGCGTGTTCAGAGTGAAGTATTTGCCCTTGTGGTTGATCTGGCGCACCTTGTCCGGGTCGACATAGCTGTCGTTCTCTGGGTCTGGGTTGAGGGCGTCGGGCGCCCAGGAGGATTCCCAGAGCCTATTGCATGATGCATGTTAGTGGATGAGGGAGGGTATAGGGGGATGGAAGGTATGGGGGCGTACTTGTACAGCACGCGCAGGTACTCGTCTGCCTGACGGTATCGCTCGTCGTGCTCGATGGGCGTGTCAAGACCAATGGCCTTGAAGGCTGCTTTCTTCCACGAGGTCACGATGTTCCATCCGATGCGGCCGTTGGTGAGATGGTCTAGCGTGGAGAAGCGCTTCGCGAGGAGGAAGGGTGGCTCGAAGGAGGTCGAGGCTGTGATTCCGAACGCGAGGTTCTTGGTCACGGCTGCCATGGCGGAGATGGGCTGCTCTGTCTGTCAGTATACATCTTGCAATGGGTGTAGGAGGGCATACGATTGTCGGATCAGTGACGGGCCACTGCGCTGCACGTCGGATGCACTCGTCTAGTTTGCCTTCGTACGTGTCGTATCCGCCGTATGTATCGGCCAGGAACAGGGCGTTGATGCCTCCGCGCTCCAGGAGCTTGGCTAGGTTGATCCAGTAGTCTAGCTTGCGTTTTGTGGCTGATTTGTCGGCTGGGTTCTGTATGTGTCATGTCAGTATAGTAGCGGGATGTGAAGTTGAGATACTCACCTTCCATTGTCCTGGGGACAGATGGCCCACGGTGGACATGTCAAAGGCATTGAGCAGGATCTGCTTCTTGCCATCTTGGCGGTTGTCTGTACTGATGTCGCCCATTGTGCTGTGTCTGAGGTGAGGTAGTTGTATCAGTTTACTACTCTCATTCGAATGTAGCAGTGATATAGTCTGGTGTGGTGTGAACCCCTCACCAATCCCGCCATCAGATGTTACCATGGCGCAAGCGTGTTATCAGTGGGATGGACATGCAGGATACAAATTCGCCATTTACCCCGCATCATGCGCGACACGGTTCTTGTATTTCTTTGAGACACTGCTTCAGCCATGTGCTCCGATGCCGGGCGGTAGTGGATGCTAAGTCTACACCATATGCAGGTATATTGCGTGACAGCTAGATAAGATGGCTCAACATCTAATTGACTAATTTCATCCCCTCTATCTTCACTTGGCGTCTATCCCTTCCCCATCAGTATACCTATACTCGGTCTTAGGCCGTGCAACCTGCACGACAGCAGATCCAGACTCTGTCTCGTCTCGAGAAGCCGCGGAGTCCTCATCACTAGCAGCTATCGCGCGATCCCTAGACACATTAGCATCACAGAAGAAGCAGCAACCATCGAAGCAAACATACTCTCTCGAGATAAAGTACCTCGTAACGTGCGCCGACACAATCAAGCAGATCGCACAAGCAAGCACAAACGAATACCCCTTCGTAAACCTAGGCCCCTCGACCGTCGGAAACACCAACAGCGGCGTCCACGCCGTCGTAGACTGAGCAATCGTATTCAACACAATCAAAACAATCGCCCTCTCATCCGGCGAATGTCGTATCTCACTATTAATCCACCCCATCAACACACTCGACATCGCCACAGACGAATACATGGTCGAGAACGCAAACCACAGCGCCGACTCCGGCACATCCCAGACCACCTGAATCACCAGCCCAATAATATTCCACACATGCGCCAGCGTAATCGCCCACGCCGGACCTAAGACCAAATCCGACGCGAAGCACACCAACAGAGTATAAAACATACCTAACCCGGGCGCGATCGCAAACAACTCATTGACTTTACTAGTCGAGTACCGATTCAGACTCTTCAACCAGAGAAGATACCCACCCGTGGTGGTTTGCACGCACGCGTTCCAGAAGAAAATGTCCACGCACAGCAGCGCCCAGGGCTTCCAGTTCCGTAGCACACGCGCACAGGTCTTCCATGAGACGCTTGATTCTTGGACCCCGTGTCCGGCTTTTTGTAGACGGTTTCGGACGAGTTGGATGTCCGATTTGCTGAGCACGATTCGGTTCGGTTTGTCGGGCGTTCCTGGGAGGACGATGAAGCCTAGGATTCCGACGGGGATGGTGATCACCGCGCAGATGATGTACATCCAGCGCCATCCGGCGAGGCCGTTGACTCCGTCGAGTTGTGCGGATGCTCCCGCTTGGATGAAACTGGCTGTTAGCGTGCCTAGGGTTAGGCCGAGGTAGAAGAAGCCGCCCCGGCGGGCGATTTCGTGGCTTTGGTACCATGAGCCTGGAGATGTTAGTTGTCGAGGGGAGGGTGGTGTTGGTGGGTTGGACGTACCGAAGATGTAATGCATTCCGGGGAAGAAGGCGGCCTGTGAAATGTCAATTGTTTAGAGCAGATGAGGTAGGAGTATGGGTTGGATATACCTCGAACCACCCTACTAAGAAGCGATATGCCATCATCTCTTCATACGAAGTAGCGCGGTATTGTAGTAGAGTGAAGACTCCCCAGAGTAAGTCCATCCCCGGGATTAGGTACGAGACGGGGTATTTGGTGAACAGGTAAGCAAATGGAAGTTGGCCTAGGACGGCGCCAACGGTGTAGATGGTTTGCAGGTTGACGAGGTCATTTCCCTGTAGGTTGAGGGATTCTTGCATTCCTGAGACGTAGGCATTGTCTGTTGGTAGACATTAGTATTGATGTCATTGTGCCAATTGAGGTACCGATTTGTGGACTCACTAATATTTGCCTGATCGATATACTTCGTCCAATAGGCTAGAAAAGCATAAGGAACAATGAGAAGGTCGAGTTTCAAGAGCAGACGTCGTTCCGATGGTGAGTCGTCTGGCAAAAACCATCGTATCCGGGGAAATCTCTTATTAGCGAACATTGTGATTTTTTGTTTTGTGTATAGTTTACAGCTGTATAGAAGTTGACAGTGATAAAACCACTGATTTATCTATAATGCGTTGGCAGATGCTTGGAGACGTCGATGTCACCATAGCATTGCTTGTATTACGTGACAATTGCCTATCTACTGCATCTTCCTGCAGCTGCATGTGTCGTGTAAATCTCCGGATAGTGAGTCTATTCTTCCTGCCTATCTCTTCGATGTGACTGGGTGGTAGCAACAAGCTTGAATTGTCTGTGCGGTGTGGGGATCAGCACGGGTGGTGTCAATGGGGGGTAGGAAGGCGTGCTTCTTGGGTGAGTGATTATAGCACTAGGGAGTGGAGCACATAGGATGTTGATTGCTTGGTCGGGATGAGGTGATTTGCGAGATTATAAGATGTCTAGTGACCAATGGTATCCAAAGAATTGAATATTTCTTTTCGTGATAGTTCTATGTCCGTTATCTGATCATCTGCAGTGATATGAGCACTTTGTCCTAAGACAGGCTTTGCGGTATAGTCCCTTGCGTTTCAAAAATAGCAATGAGCTTTAATGTGCGCTGCAAAGTATACATTGTAATCAGTGGAGTCATATAAATCCACGGAGCTTCTTTCAGCGAGTGGTATTCTCTACCTCCACACATGCCATCTTTGGATACCAAGACTTAGAGATAGAATGGCCGGCTTGGCTACTGCAACAATGCCGATACCGGGATGAGATACTAGTTGTACGAGGATCAACCGGCATTTGTATGCAGTAACATATAGTAGCAATTTTAGTAGGGGAATCTAGGCTGCAGACCAAGTCCGTGGGGGTAATCAAGGATCTGAGCATAAGAAATATAACACGATGACTGGCCGATTGTTTCTAGCACCATAGAAAAAAAAAAAAAAAAAAAAAAGTCGAATTATCTATGGAGAGAACGAGACCTGTGAGGAGTCAGACATTGACATGATCTACAGTGCAGTTTCCAGCACGAGATTAGCTTCGACGCAAGGCTGGAATGTCAGCCCTGATAGCTGGACCCATTAACATGACTTCTTGTTGGCACATGGATTCAAGACAGCACCATGACCATCAAGACCAATTTTCGGAGATAATTAGCTGCGGGCATGATGAAGAAAAGTGAGTCTTGTCATATCACAATCACCCTGTGTGGCATGTCGCGAAATCCTGGTGGTAAAAGAGTTGTGTATGTTTTCAGCGACTATGATCCATGTAGGCTCCATATCTTAGGAAAAGTGTCTACTCCGTTCATCAGCACAGTTCGAAATCTTCAGAAATATGAGATGAAAGACAGACTTAGTCTTATATGAGGCGGCCCACATTATGCATGCCAGCATCGTGCTGGATTTTGATGATTAAATGTACTGCGTCCTGATAAGCGAGTAGGCCCTAAGAGGAACCTGGAATGTGGCGACCGCAGTTATCAGTGGCCCAAGTATGCATCACGCTCTGCTTTCTACATGCAGTGTAACAATACAAATTTGGTAGGCATTCAAAAGGTGAGGATGGCCTTCTGTAGGTGGCGAATAACTAATAGTAAACGCATGGCCAGGCTCTCAAGTGTATTTACTGTAAAGAAGAGCGGTATCTGGCTGCTCCTATGGCATTCCTTTCCGTTTTCGGAAGTCTCGACACCTCGGTCCACACAGCAAGGGGGATGAGCAGTAGAATAGCACGCTACTTTTTTATACCATTATTCTATACGGTCGCTCAATTGGAGAATGAGAATAATAGTCTGCTTCTACTTTGCATTGAAGCCAAACGGTATTATTACTCGGTAAGGTCAAGGTCATACCGAGGACACTGATGGATTATATAAATTTCAATCAAGTAATACTGCGTTTCAGCCAGACTTTGTGAAAAATGTAGAGAGCATAAAACAAGAATATACTTTATCAGTCCTACTATCAGCTAACCAACTTTGAACATATGGACAATTGTATGAAGGATTTGAGAATGTCAAGAGGGTGTAGTTGCTCAGGTATACTTAAAGATCAATCCTTACCATGGACCGTATTGTTTAGCTTCCGGTCGGGATTAACCTCGCTTGTAAGCATGTCTCCCAATCCATGAATTATTCCTCGTAAATATTGTGAGGTAGTTCATTCGGAAAAGTAACTGAGATTTATCTTGGGAAATGGCTGTAGTAGTGGTCGTGAGAAGATTCACGAATGGTTCCAAGGGAAGGTAATGGTGGGGCTGACAGGAGAGTATCAATGCTCAGCCCGGTCCAGGCTATTCCCCGCATATGCAAGATGTTATTAATCCTCCTTGTTAGAATTGAAGGTCTATAAGGCACATCGTAATTATATATGCAACACTGTCCAAGTGATTTGATACGAACTCCTGACCCTGGGAAAGGGGAAGAAGGGAAGTCCGGGCGAAATCGGGATTGGCGGGGATGAATTCGGATGACGTCGAGGGCAGGTGGGGTAGCTTTCACTGCTAAATGCTACTCCTCCAAGTTACTACTGTGTGTCGGCCTCGCATCTCGGCTCTTTTCTTTCCCCAGCTTCATTTAACCCTGTTGCTGTCTCTTTCTCCCCGTCTTCCTTCTTCTTCCTCTTCTTCCATTTCTCATCCATTCCTCCCACACCCAACCCAATTCATCCGTCTCATTCTCCCTGTGCGTCCGCTATCCGCCTGTAACTCTAACATGTTCTCCAGACAGCTTCTGACTCTCCCTCTCAGAAGGTCCTTCCTGACCCCCGTCACACCCCTCTCCAGTCGTATCGTGCGCCCCCTTCACTGTTCCTCTACAGCCATGTCTGGTGTCAACAAGGCTTGTTGCTCGTGAGTATTGCCCTGTCAATGGCTTGGCTTTTATACTCACCGTCACCAGCATCCCCCCGATCGTGGCCCAGGGCTACCAGGGCAAGGGCGAATACAAGACCATCAATGGCTTGAAGACTTGTAGGTTGAACACAATTAACCAGAAAGGACCAACTAATTCTCTACCCAGACGTCACCGGCCCCGAATCCGCTACCAAGGCCATCCTCGTCATCTACGGTATGATAGACCCGTTTCCAACCTGCCTAAAGCCCATGCTAAAATTTGCAATGACTTTCAGACATTTTCGGTTTCTTCCCCCAGACTATCCAGGGTGCCGACATCCTGGCCACCGCGAGCGAGCAAAAGTACCGCGTCTTCATCCCCGACTTCTTCCAGGGCGAGCCGGCCGACATCACCTGGTTCCCTCCTCAGACCGACGACCACAAGCAGAAGTTGGGTAACTTCTTCCAAACCAAGGCTGCTCCTCCCGCAAACCTGCCTAAGATCCCCTCCATTGTCTCCGAGGCCAACAAGCTCGCTGCTGGCGGCAGCTTCCAGTCCTGGTCGATCCTGGGCTACTGCTGGGGAGGCAAGATCACGACCCTGGCGTCTGGTCAGGATAACAAGCTGTTCAAGGCGGCAGTGCAATGCCACCCGGCGATGCTCGACCCCAACGATGCCAAGAGTGTCAACATCCCCATGGCGGTGCTGGCCTCTAAGGATGAGAACCCCAAGGATGTCGAGGCATTCGGTGCCAACCTGCAGCAGGCCAACTATGTCGAGACCTTCTCCACCCAAATCCACGGATGGATGGCTGCTCGCTCCAACCTCGAGGATGAGCAGGTGCGCAAGGAGTACGAGCGGGGATACCGGACCGCGCTGGACTTCCTCCAGAAGCACGCCTAAACACTGACGGTCAACATGCCATAATGAATGGAATCTGAATAATGAATTTTGTGAAACCAAAAGTGTATATATGACTGTCAGCAAATGCCCAAGTACAGTTTCATACAGTTTCAGTATAATTGTGACTCCATCTACGGTCAGACTCAGTTGTAAAATATATACTTCAATTAGTAGTGTTTGTGCCGGTCGGACCATCTTGCCCGACCGGGCCATGCCGGGAGCCGGATGGCCGACGTCATCGCTAGAGCTCCATTACCAAGCTCATTCGCCTTCTTTTTGTTCTTCGACCTCCCTCGAACCGTCCGGATGCAGCCATCCCCTATCACCTTACCAGTGGACTGATCAGTACTAGCTAGACTAGATCGCTTTTTATCTGGGCTTCGTCCCCCACATCAATTGTTATCCCCTTATAACTATTTATTAGCTCTCGTTCGGGAGACCGCAATGAGTGCGGACACCATTCGAGTGTGGCAGCATATCTGCTCTGACTGATATCGCCCACACATCGTTCCTGTCCTCTTGCCTTTACACAGCATCAAAAGAACTCCTACCCGTTGGTCTCCGACAATCCCAAAATGTCCTTTTTCTTTGGACGTCGGCATTCCATCTCATCCGCCACTCTGGGTCAGGGCGATAACCTGCCCAGGAACGAGAGGGGCAGGAGAGCTTCATTACCCAATGTGTCCGATACCAACAGCACCGGATCCCACGCCAAAGGGGTGCTCCATGATATCTTTCACAAGCATCGAGGAGACTCGGAATCGGGATCCTCTTCTGGGACAAAGACGTCTAAATCGGTAAGGATACCAGCGCGGTCTGGGAGCTTTGCCAAGGGGAGCCTGACCATTTTTAGGAGGCCGACATAGCCCGATCCAATCCCACAAAGCCGGATACACACTCTCAAGACGAGCATCATGCTTCTCATCACCATTCGGATCAGGCTGCTAAAGACCATCCACCACATCATCACGAGGGTCCTTCACACAACCAGCTGACAAAAAAGGACATCGAGACAATCTTCTCCGGGGCTCCATACTTTCTGCTGGAGAAGGGAAAGCATGGACTCTTCTACCCACAGATTATATTCCCTTTCGATGACCACGATCCCACCATTCAAAATCTCTGGGATAGACGGCCCCTTCCCCATGCCTCCTACACACTGTGCACTCTCCATGCTCATTTGCCTGTACCGGATGACTGGGTAATTGAAGGGGAAATGCCGGTTCATCTGGGGCACTGGAAACGATCGGAAGCTCCGAAGCGGGCGACTTTTGATGTCGGCGTTCACGAAGTACCCAATATGCTGTCAGTCAATGGCAAAGACGCTGGTACAATCGGCTTTCGTCACTTTCTCGAGCTGCCCGTCGCCGACTCGGTCGTATACGCGGGCCCCGAGAAACCACGACCATGCTCTGACCTCCTTCACATCTCAACTCTTCCAGCAACCGAGGCGTATGAACTGATGGGGCACTATAACGACCCATATGCCCAGTGCTCGGACGGTACTGTCCATGACCGGAAGAAGTTGCTGTGCGAAGGACCGGTTGCATGGAAGAGGATCGGTGTTCGCGATATCGACCTGCGAGCCCTAGTGGAGCGTCTCCAGACGCTCAAGACTCTCCGCTACGACATTTTGCACGGCGATACACCAAAGACGATTCTAGATATGGAATGCACTCGAGAGCTGTATAGTGGACTGTTCAACCGATTTCTGTACCCACCGGCGCGGTTTCTGTTTGCAGATGTCGGCGATTCCCATAGTTTGAAGGCTCAGATCAAAGCTTTGACAGTGGTATTGGCTACCCCTGGGGCGTGGTTTGACTTCAGTCTGATCGATTGGCGATTGCACATTGGACAAGTGTTGTTTGAGAACCCTCCACATGACGACGGCGACTTCCTTGATCCGGACAAGTCTGACAAACCCTGGGTGCATTTCACGCTGGAACGCAAGTGGTTCCTCGTTCAGATGCTGCTCGCCGCGGAGCTACTGATGCGTTTGGATGCCACTGTCCGAGTTGGAATGCTGCAGAATGCGCGGGATATCGATGTGTCGGTGCATGATGTGTACGAGTTTGACCGGCTACGGAGTGGTAAGCTGAATTGGGATCTGGTTACAGTTCGACGTTTTCTGGACAGCTTCCACTTCGCCTACAACCCTGTGGAGCCGGACCACCCTTCTCCGACCATACATTCTCCGAGCAAGTCGCCTGAGCGGCATCACCATCGTGGGTTCCTCGAAGCTTTCACACATCACTCTACATCATCCGCCCATAATGATGAATCCGCCTGGCGGTGTCATCTGGCTCCCAGGCACGTTGACCAGCAACTGAAAGGACTGTTCGTATTTGCAGACAATATTGGCTGGCCAGGACTGGATGCATTTAAGAGCGCACTGCGGTCAAAGCTTGAGGGTGAGGGGGTGGAAAAGAAAATCGAAGCCGCCTATACCATACCACTTACCAACTCGCTACCTGCAGAGTATTCCACACTGGGCTTGAAGAAAGAGATGTATAGCAGATCTCCGTCGCGCCGGCTGCTCCTCCTTCATTCACCTCACAGCATACGTCCCTTGAACATTGGTGGTTGGATTACGCGTAGCTGGCTGGCGGGGTTGGTAATCCCTGGCGAGTCCATCAGCCACCTTCTCATGGCAACCATCCTAGAAAACGACGAAGAAGCGATGGCTACACTTGGTCCAGTCGCCAACGTTTACGGTGGTTTCACGTACAAGGGGAAGACCTGGTGGAGTAAGAAGTGCATTGTTGGGCGAGTTCTAGCCAGCCAGCCGGGTACAAAGGTCTGTTTGGCGTGGCTGGCAAGCAGCATAGTGCCCAAAGACTCTGAAAGTGGAGAGCACTTTGTTAACACGTGGTTTGAGGTGGATGTCCGCGAGCCGCCCCGACGTCCAGGCAAGCCACGCATCAAACACGGAAACCGGCTTTCTTTTGACTCTACGCCTCTGGGTTTGGGAGAGCTTACGAGTGGAGTATTCTTGCTACCTGTCGATAGCCCCTGTGATAGCTGGTCGAAAGCAAACATCGACTTTCAGGACCTCACCTTCTCCGTCGATACGAAACGAACAAGCCATAACCTGACCGTGGTCCAAAAGGCCTATGCCAATTTTCTTCTCGCTTCCACTGCTACCGGACCAAGTCCAGTATCGTTTGAGTTGACCTACAACGTACGATTCATTTCTTCCCACGAGTGCCGTCCACCTGGGGGGTCGGTCAACTATCAGAATCCCCCAAGCACAGCGGATGGCGGGTTGTCATCCTCGTCATCAAGCCATGTCTCTCATAGACACCATCGTTTGCCGGGCCATCCGTTGCACCGATCGTACGCGTTCAAGTGGGTGCCTCTAGAATCCTTAGCGGAGACATCTCACTCGGATGGCCACAGCAGCGGACTAGGTAAGGAAGAGATCCTCCTTCTCGACGCGCGGGGCTCGCACGACAAGGAAACATTTGCACGAGCATGGTGTGCGTCTGTTGGACATCATGCCGTCATTGGCAAGGTCGGACGGACCTGTCTGCCGTGTTGCATTCGCGAAGCCCGAGCGTTGCAGGTGAAAGTGGTGATTCGCATTGGGGACGGGATGTCGACGCCCTCTTCGTCGATCCAGGTGTTGTATGGTGGGGAGTAGGTTCGTTTGATTGGTTGACACTTAGAAGGGTTTGGTTTCCGGTCGCACGTAGTGATGTCTGCCATTTTCCCGTGTCGTTTGTATGTAGTAATATCCTTCAAAAATACTTTAATCTAGACATGGCCTATTTGTAGGTAGCTGCCTGGTAACTTGGGGGTTAGCTGCGTAGTGTTACGGCACACGGGATGCTGCCCTCCAGACCGGGGCGGTTTGCCAGAAAGGCAAATACCCGTTTGTGTCACCCACACCATCGATCTTCCTCACTTCCTCACTTGCCCGTTGCTCTTTCGATCTTTTCTTCACCCGTGGGAAATCATGGCGGGTGTTCTTCCTTCGCGCCATAAATACCTCAAGGCCTTCAAAGCAAAAGCATTCTCCATCTTCTCATCGCCATCACTTTCTATATACTACTACATTTCTACTTATATATTATTTCCTCATTCTGTATACTATACGATGCTGATATATACACCCCATCAAGCCGACGCCTTTCCCAAATTTTATCCCCTCTTTGAGCTTGGTTTTCCAACTTCATCTCGTGAAGGACATTTCATCTTGGATGGGAATGAGACCCCCGGTGGATTTATATCGACAAGTGATACGGTGCTCATTGGGCACGATATATAATAAAATGATACCAATTTCCTTGGGACTATTCACCTGGGGGTAGTCTACTCGACTATCCTCAGAAGCTTTCTCTCAAAAATCTTGATAAGAAACCCAGGGTCTGGTGGATTCTGGGTATTTGAAGAAGTGGACTGGTTTGCGGGGGCCTGATGTAACATTCCCTATGAGAACGAGACTTTGAAATGTCGTGTGGTTGATGGTGTGCAGTTTTCGAATCACCTACTCTGCACTTGGGATACGAGAACCCACCCACGGCTCTTGATGCGGCCGGTGCAGCAAATACAACAGCCAATTTACGGTGTACTGGACAAGACCACACACATGTGGAAATGGCATACCCTGAAACATATCGTGTTTCTGTATCTCTCTGCTCTGTCAAGTCTGTTTCACCCGTTCTTCCTCCCTTTTCTTAATGCTTTGCTGTAGCTGGGTGTTCAAGCACGACCGCTATACCATGTCAAAGAGTTTCTCAACTCCACAGCTAATGTCTCAAAGATTCTAGAAGACCTACCTCAACACGATTTTCCGATATTCCTGCGAAAAAGCTCCGCCATCTTTCCTCACTGGCGGCTTCCGGCAACCCTTGACTCTAATTCATAATGTCGGGTTATACTTGTTCATTCGATTTACGAACGTGCTTAGCATCTTAGTCCATGAGGATTCGAAATCCGCACAGAATCTGGGCGATGGTCGAATCATGGATATTGATAAACTGAGGAAATAACCACAAGGTAAGCAATCTGGGTATGATCAAATCTTGCTTGAAGCTAATCATACCTGACTTTCACAGGCTCTGAAAACCATGACCCTCGGCCTCACACACTCGAAGACGTCAGCACAGCTGTTTTGCACGATGAAGACTAATGGCCCGACTGGCTTTCCCTCGATATATAATTCGCAGGGGGAGTAGAGAACATCCTTGGAGCTGGGATTCTCTATGAGAACTCTCTTCCCCCAGCCACACTTCTGTTGCGTCTTGTCCGATCCATATGTTGGCCTCACAAGCCCTGAACCTTGGTATAAATGGCGAGGCTAATAGTTTGATGGAGATGGCTGTGGTGCTGGGATACATGCTGCATGCCGATTCGAATCCTCATCGGCAACACGTGGTTGGATATAGCCACAACTGCCACTGGAGCCACAACTGCCACTGGACAGGCTTTCCAAATCAACAGGCTTTCTCGGTTCTTGCCTGAAACTTGCCACATTGCTTGCACTCCACAAGCATCATTACCACTGCTTCGAAAGCTGGATTATCCCATTCACCATACATCAAACGAGGGACGCGAGCAGCAGCTTCCCAATGCGCCCAGCAAGAAGGTCGGGCCCTCTGGATTGGGCGATACAAGTCTCAGAACTTTGATTTCACCATTAGATCAAGTCATTAGACCGAGTGAGCGACCTCCGGCACCGCCAGTCCAAGGAGATTCAATGGTGGAGCCCCGGACCGTTGACCACGTACCTGTCTTGCTACCTGGGCGGTTTTGTGTCACTTGGTAGTCTAAAGAAGGCTATCAGTGAATGTTGACACTGATGTCCGTAGGCTTATAAACAAGCTGACGGCTCTCCTGCGCAGCTGCTACGCCTTCGACTATCCCAAATGTCCAGGAGGTCTAGACCGCAGCGATTAGCTTGTACACCTTTTTGAAAACATGGTCTATAACGTGACTCTTCTTTTACACTCGGTGGCATGTTGCTCGCTTCTTCGAACAGAGGATCCAAGCAATCGAATTCCGGTGTCTTGGAGCAACTCTTACGACAAGTACTCAGGCGCAAACGGCACAACCTCGGTGTTTGTTCATCAGTGTAGGCCCTTGCACCTTGCCATTCATGTGGATTGTTATGTCCCGACTAACATTCCAACAAGTCTTCATCCAGATTGTTTGTCAACCGTCATCCCGATTAGGTGACATTCACAGTTTCTCTGGTATATTTCCCTCGAGCATGAACGGAACGACCATTGCTGGAACGGATTACAACGGGGGGAGACGATGGGTTGATACGCTTCAGTGGTTACATTACGCCGCCCCATAGTCACCTGCTAAGTAGTCCAGATGGTGCATGATCGTGACCGCTCGGATAGGGTTGCGCAAAGAGCGTTTCGTTTGCTGCCACCGCACTCTTTGGTCAAGGTGCTACAGCCTGGACACCGGCGGGAAATACATGTCGTATCGGACACACGGGGATAGTACGTCAGGTCTCGAGCTGTCGAGAAGGGCTTTCCATAAGAGGATTAAACAGAATTATTATTGGAGGTAGCGGCAGAGAGCAACCCATCAATGAGTATAGCCAACAGTGATGCTGTAGGTGAGACAATAAAACCGGAGAACATGAAGTCAGGCTGCGCTTGATCTAGTCAGGATGCGATCAACGCAGACAATGCTTCGTCAGAAAACATCCATAAATTCCTCTTTCACATCCCCTTGCTTCTAGTGTACTTCATCGAATGCTCTCAAAGCTGTGGATTTGATCATTCAAATGACACACTGCCGCTAATGTCTACATGGATGTTTCATGGTGATTTCACCCCGATCAGCTCTCTCGTCGGCAGATTCGGATCAAGGGTTCTGGTTCGATATCCACCAAGAATGGACCTCGAGGTCTGCAATGCTCTTAGTTCGCGAGTCTCTGTGCAACTTCTCTCCTGTTGTTGAAGGCCGATGACTGCCTGCATGGTTGGACTGGTGAATTGTGGTGCTTTGAAAATGGATTTGCCCTTATCTATACAGTGCTACCATGCATTTGGGCTAAGCATGAAATCCAGAAGACCACTGGGAGAAATCCGTATCAGTCGCTTTACGGAGACGCCGAATACGACGCCTCCGCCCCATCGCCTTGACCTTGTCGGTTCCCGTATCAAAAGAAGGCCTCCAACAGACCCGTCTAGAAAACGATACAAGCTATGTATGATCCCGTCAACCTTGTCTTCGCTGAATATGTTTGACTAACCAATCATGCGATATGCATACAGCTACTCAAAGGCACCAGACGACGCGTGTTGTCCACTCGTGCTATCAGTGCCCTGTTCTGACGGATTTCCGACCATGTATTGCCTCATGAGAAAGACAATACCGGCACATTCCAAGAGCACCAATATCGCCAGGATGCGTCCCATAACCTCAAAGATATCGATACTCAGATGTCATCACTCAAATCTCAGTGTCTGGTCCAACAACGCACAGCTGCAACTGTGGCTGCGGCCATCGCAGTGAGCGACGTGCTCGTCAATAATAATCAAAAGAGATTAATCATGACCTTTGAATCATTTCGCCATGTGCCAACTTGATGGCCAGAAACCTTGGGAAGCTGGCTAGTCAGAAGTAGCCACACGGAAGCGCAGTTTGCCAGGTCTTTCTACGGCACTTGCTAGATCAGGACGAAAGATGTGTCACTATCCTGTCATCACAGCTCCAGGGAACTGTTACTGGAGCGTCGATCGACTCTGCTTTTGTTCATCCTGATGGGACATTTGGCATCGTTTTCAATCATCTATTGCCGTACTGGTTGCAAACCAACTTTAAAATACCACTGTCATCGAACACTACCTACCTAGCTCCCACCTTAGGTTTCTCTATCTTTTCCAGTTGCTGTTACCCAGCCAGTATCCATCGTATGGAACTGCATGGATCGATTGCCTAACCCCATACTCACCGCTCCATACTAAGCCCCCGAGGAACTCCCTTGAGCATCTTTCTGCCAACCTCAACAGCAGAGTCCAGCAAGGATAGAAAGGTGCATGATCTACAACACCGCCATTCAAACCACGCCACCCCTGTCAAAGAAAAGAAATATCTTTCCACCCACATTCGATGACTCTGGAAAGCATTTAGCAACCAAAAATAACGGCAGAGTTGGCTCAGAATGCAAACAATATGGCACCCACCTCACCGTCTTCTCTTCCACTCCGGGCAATTGCTCACGCTCAATGATCGAATTTTCAGCATATTCGGTTCCAATATATGCTGTCTTCGAGACAAATGCGTCAGAGGCTACGGCGCTAGCATGGTCCCCAAAAAGGACTATATGGACCTCGCAAGGAGGGAAGAGTAGTTGGAGTACTTTCCTCCCCATATGCAGACACCTTATTCTTTCTTTGTTACATCCAGCTACTGCATTATCTGGAATAAGGTTCTTGAGATGAGAATAAAATAACCCAATTAAAACGAGGAGAGCTGGAAGTCTTGCTAGATAGTATAGATCCTTAGGGAGAAGTAGAAGAATACAGATGGGAAAGAGCACATGAAGATACTACCAACTACTTAGAATATTTAGAACAGATAGAGAGGGTCCCTTCGACTCGTCATGGGAATCAAGAAGTCGAAGATGAGATGGAGATGAGATGACAGACGTAGACGAGGAGGAGACCTCTGACGTTGCTTGCTGTCAGAAATCTGTCTACGAGTCTATTCCCTATTAAGGAAAGAAAATGAAAAAGAAAGGCTCGAGTCTAGTAGTTAATCCTGACAGAATATGATTATATTATATATTATATGCTCTCTTTTACTCTCTACTCGGTATATATTTCGCAAGCATATCGAGAAGAAAAATATGATCCATATATACACTATACTAACTATCACCCATTACAATGATTAATCATACTTCCATTATCTTTTCACCGTAGTACTATCTATCTCTGGTATTATTCTATTTCTTGCTCTAGTCTAAGTTATCTCCTAGTCTATTATGACTAAAGATATCTTCTCTTTCGGAGGGAGTTTCGTCCAACTGTGTCATCTTCCATTTCATCCAAGTCGCAGTCGCAACCTAATTGAACAATCCCCTCCTTTATGTATGGATTTTTTTTTTATCTTACTTAATTTTATTAAATTGTGTTTGGCGAAGAAGAAAACTGGTATGTACCAATGCCAATATAGTTTATTTCATGTGGAATTGTAGATGACTGAAGATGTACTGGGAGTAGTAAGTAACTAGTAGCTACATAGTGATTTATAAATTGAGAAGTTGGAAAATATTATATATATGATTTAGTAACAGTGCCGTATCCACCAAATGTTTTGAGGTCTATCTCAGAGGAACATCGAACCCCAGTAATGTCGTAAGGAAGATTAGAATTCAGATAGGTTAATTTTATTGTTCATACTACTATACTACATCGTGATCTGGTAAATAAAACTTCGGAGCGGACCCGCGAGCATGTCTCACTAGATTATTTGTCTCTCTTGAAGGAGCGGGATCCATGTCTTTTACTCCCTTTATAGCAGTCGCTAAATATAGCTTGGCTTGCCTCGCATTGCTGTAAATTATGTTGGTTGGATATTGAACCCAACGTCGAGGAGGATTTTGATTCGACCTGCATTGAGTTGATGCAGTAGGTTGTGGCGAGGCGTTTCAGTACCCCTGAAGACACGGTGAGTCTAGAATCTGATTTTAGCAGCGCTGTGTCTATGTCGAGAGGTAGGCACCAAGATAGTTTTGTCTCTGGAGAAGATTACTCGGTGCCTGATGCTGAAATAGATGTTCTTGATCGCATTAGTTCTCATCGCGATTGGAGATGATGGACTTTGAAAGACCTTCCCCGTTGTACTGTGCTCTATGGTATATCCCAATTGAAGCAGAATACTTCATGCAGTGGCGAGAGATGGCTCAGGACTCGTAGTATGCTGTCTAAGTGTCTAGGGATATCGCGCTCGTACTGGACATGAGAAGAGAAAGTCGTCTGTCTGTATAGCTATCAGCCCTTATGAGACCAAAAATTAGCGTAGGTAGACCAGCAAGCGACCCAAGCTGCAGTGTTCAACCCATCCATATTCCCTGCCACTAGCGTTGCCTTTCCTTGGCGGTTGTATCTTCAACATCCGTCGGACTGCAATAAACTCAGCAACCGACGGACTGCCAATCCTTCACTCGTGCCGCATTATACCCTCGGGGCTGATATTCCATATCGCACTTTTCCAGACTTGCGCCTGCTGTGTCTCGTGGCATCTTGTGTGGCAAACCCGCTGAACCAGATATCTTCCGCATAATTCTAACTTCGATAATCTAAGACATCTATCCGTTAGTCATTTCTTCCAACGTAGATGATTATTATATGGAGACTGTTATCAGTGTAATCGTACTCTTACCGTGGTTATCAACGCACGCCAAGCGGTCCTTCACATCATGGCAGAGTCATTGCGCTTCTCAACCTCATAGATTCGAGTCACTGCACGAGGCAGTCCGCATCCACAGCATAATCTCTAGACTAAATGGCAATCCTCAGTAAGTAGCTGACTGTTCTGTATAAGCATGAAGTACCGAGCGACAAAAGAGGAGGCTGGCATCAACAACCAAGCTTGAACAGTCCAGTAGACCACTTCTAGAGCTGTTCCTCAGACTGGAATGGAAGCATGGTGTCACTGAAGAAAGAAAAGCCTGGCCTCGGTGTCCTTCTGCGTCATCTTCACTCATGATCCAGATACCCCATTCGAGCAACAGCCAGTCGTCATGCCGCGGAGGAAGCTAAACACGCCAGAAGAAGAATATTCAGTAAGAATAACAGATGAGAAAGTCAAGCACTGGAAATATAAACTAACCGGATGTTCTGAATCCCCATTGAGACAGGTCAAGGGTCCACGACGAGCAGATACCTCCGTGTGGTCATGGCTCAATCACGCAGCTGCAGGGTCTTTGCTGTAGCTTTGAGATTAGTTTCCCGTTTTCATTGAAAAGGAGGTTAGTTCAGTGCTTCTATCTCGTTCAGAGGCCATTTTGTAAGAGGAGCAGCCGGATCTGTGCGTTTCTGAGAATGACGGCTAGAAAATTCTCTGCGGTTTAGTAAATCCCTAGGTGCTGAATCACAGTAGTGATGAGTGCAATGCCAAGATAAAGCAAAGGAGCAGTCACATCCTCTAGTCCAAAGTAGATAGATAGATAGATAGATAGATTGAAATCTCAAAGGAATGGGATCGTGGTTCTTCAGACACGAGTGATGATCGTCTCTCTGAAGGAAAGTTGCGGTCAACGCCGACTACCCCGATTGGTGCTAGCCGATATCTACTATTACTACTACTACTACTACTACTACTACTACTACTACTACTACTACTACTAATACTACTACTGTATCTATGGAGGGGGAGATACTACCTACCTGGATCCGGCAGTGTTCAACTTTACGGAGCATGACCGAGAAGTATGAGTATGAGTACATGAAAGAAAGAGGCTACTAAAGACATAAAAGTACATATGACAGAAGTCCCGAAAGTACATACTCCCTGCACATCGGCACTAAAAGGACAACAGATACTGCAAGTGGAATGGCTATGTTTGGCTATGTCTCAGGCAACAGCAGGAAAGACAGCAATCAATTCGCTACTCTGTCTTTCATCATCCACCCCCCAACCAGCAGGCTACACTATTCATCTTCACCGTTTGCATCGCCCCCGGTGCCATGTGCTGGCAATAACCCCATCTCAAAAGCCGTATACGGATTCAGTGGGTCACATGAGAGAGTCAAAGGTGGTACGGTTAACCCATCTGGAGTGGTCTGTTTGGCAGCGGAGAGAGAAGGGATGTAGGGAGGGAGGGAGAGGGGGGGGTTGCAAATGGCGCTATAAAGGTGATACAAACATGTATCTGCTGCTGGTCTATCAATGCTGCCAAACCCACCATGGAACCCCGATTTCTGGCTAGGATCTCGTGTTTGCAATGCCGGTATGACACCGACCGGAAAGCCAATCGCGACCGCAGCATTCTTCATCCAGAAATTCACCGGGGAGACGTGAGGGAGCCATGATATACGAGCACGCCAAATGCCAAGCACCAGACACCATTTTTTCTCTTTTCTAGTTGCAAACAAGATTTTGCGGCTTTTCCAATCGGCGCGATGCGTCAAGACACACTAAACCCAAACTTCCCCCCCTTCCCCCCTCCCCTCTTCCTCTCCCTCTCCCCAAAACATCTATACCAGAAGGGTGTACTCCGTGCCCGACACACGCCTTACCATGAGTGGAAAGTAAGCAAGCAACCAGGCTAACCTTTAGCCCGGCACTCCCAGGGTTAGAACAAGACCGGCTTGTTTCATCCTCGCGGGCACTTGTCTCGAAAAGGATATGCTCGACTGGAGGGTCGGCCCTGCGACTGGATTGCTGAGCGTGTAAACTGGGGTCCTTACGTGTCCGGCGCTGAGCTTTACCGATGGGAAAAGAGTGGGCGGGTATAACCTCGATTAATGAATGTATTAGATGATGGAACAGGAGACGGTGTATCGCTTCTCCCTTCGTAGGTACTACCGTGTAAAAAAAAAAAAAAAAAAAAAAAAAAAAAAGTCTGTGCTAAAAAGCAATATGACCGACACCCCTATTTGTCGTTTCTTTTTCTCTCTTAGGTTGAATTTTTTGCTTTTTCAAATAACCGTTACGGACAGTCGATAAGGGTGCGTCGCATGGTCCGCCAACCGTAGGGCGCCGAAATTGTTTCATAGATAGGCAAACCTATCTAGGCACCCTTTTGGGTACCCCTGCCAGACAGGGATGCTTTTGAACTTTTTGACAATCCATTCTTTGTTATCTTATATGTCATAATCGATAGATCTCGTTCTTCCGAGGAAATAAAGAACCAAACAAGGGAAAAGCAAAAAGCAAAAGTAAAATAAAACGGGGGGGGAAACAAACGACCCACGAACGTCAAGGATCTCCGGCCCGGCAGAGACCCTTGAGATCGAACAAACAGAAAACCGAAGAAGCTCGGGGCTCGGAAATCCGCTCAGGGTCTGTTTCGGATGGAAAGATCACACGGAAGATCAATGGAAACAGCAAGCTGGGATCGTGATGGCGCGCGTCGTATCATCATATGTCGAGTGTAGTAGTAGAGTAGACTATCTAGTTAGTAGTTACTTGTTGGTCTCTTAATAGATTAGGACATAATTACTGCATCGAGTGAGAACTCCGCCGATTCACTCCATCAGCCATGGGTGGTGAAAAGGCAGACGCCATTGTGATTGGCTCCGATTCAGTCCAAGAGGACAGATGGCGTGGCCCTGCTGTGGGTTAGAGTCCAGTCGGACCGTAGATTCCTACCTACTTTGTACGACTCCCACCAACAGGAGGAGGTAATCTTGTCGGAGGGGAGCGAGCAACACATGCCAGACTGACAGGCTGAAAGCAGGGAAGAATCATTATTGCCATGTTAGTTTCTCTCTTGTTATTGCCGCGCACTTATCATCATCGTCATCATCAGCAGCAGCAGCATTGACTGGGTTAGACCAATGGTCGCTCATTCATTAGTTAGGGATTAAGTTTCATCCCTCGGAGAATTTTGACGCATGGCTTCTCGTGGAGAGGACCACCAGTGGTGCAGCGAAACACTGGGTTAGTGTTGATTTTAGTCCCTGCAGAAGCCGGGGGGTTGGTTGTGGATGGGGGGGGGTGTGTGGGTGGGAAGAGAGGCGTGCGTATGTGGCCGTTAATCAGGAGGTAGTCTAGTCTATTCTAGTGTAGTAGTAGACCATAGCCAAGGCCATTGTTCTTACCGGTTAAGTAGCAAAGTAAGAAGTCGGAACTGGGCAACCGCCCGTTTCCCACCTATTGAAAGGCAGTGCTCCGTCCGGCGGACCGCGATGATCAGATAATGATTTGTATGATAGGGCAGAGCGTTGATGGATGAGGCGAACTTGTTTCAAGTCCGATACGAGACAATAAATGCCACTAAACAGCGCTAGGGCGAGGTGCGACTGCGGTGTTCAGGGAGAAAAGTGGAAGTCGCCAACGATCTTCGTCTCTTCGCTTACGTATATCGGCTGCCCGATCCCGCTAGCGACGCAGAGGCTGACCAAAGTAGCAATATCCACGCGTTTGAGTCCCAGGTACCTTACTATCCGAACCTCCCTAACCACTGACTATCTTGCTCAATCCAGTTAATGTACCAAGGATCATTGTAGATTGCATAACATGTTAATATCTGCCATTATACCTTCTTCAGCAAGCAGCTAGTATCAGTGGTAAAAAGAAAATAAAGGAAAGGGGAGAACCGGCGTCAGTAACGCTCCCCCATCAGTCTCCCATCTCTGAAATTAACGAACCAGAGAAGGACAGCGTGCTATTGTGTCCGTCAGTTAATCAATTGAAGGGTCCAGCGGATACACCAAGTTCCCTTTGGAGTTACGCAGGTACGTAATGGCCCAGAAAGTGCACACGGTAAGTGGAGGAAACCGTCCGAGTTGTGTCTATGATTTTATCCTGGGAAAGGAAAGGAACTAAGTTCGGAGCCGAGTTTATCCATCCACGGCTAACGAAAGCGCTACTAATAATAAATTGAAGGCCCGAGAGGACCCTGAAAGGCCAAGCAATCTGCTTGGGTTTGGCATGGGTGCTATAATGCTGGCTAAGTGCGTAGTTTACATGCATGTCACCATTCCATACTTTGATTGTATATATATATATATTAAATAAATCTACATGAATATATATATATATATTAATTAAAACAATAGATAAACAAAAGTCGCGCATCCCTCATGTTCCCTAAGAGAAGGAAAATCTTCCAAGTCCATTACTTTAAACTAAACACATATGCCTGATCCGAGTAGAGTGAGTGTCCCCATCCATGTCGAATTGGACAAGTGGACTTTTCGCCTAGACTAGTAAAAGCACTCATGCCATCATCAATCAGCAGCAACAGTAGCAGCAGCAACAGTAGTGGCAGTGGCAGTGATCTCTTGTCATCATACGATTCTGGAAGTACCTCCGAATGCGACCTTGACAATTCCCATTGGAGTCTGTTTCCTTTCTACTACTGCGATCGACTGCAAACGCAATCCCTTACTGAGCAAAACCACTACACTCGGCCAGGCCAAGCCCACTGGCTACACTAGGATTGCAGATGTGATCCTTAAATCAAACCTTGGCTTGGAAGAGGCCCACCTGATTTCTGACAGATCCAGTCTCGCTCTCTCTGCCTCTTATGGCGGAGTATATTTCCAGGGTACATGCAGGTACGCAGTCAGCATGGACGTGGATGTGGGCTGGGCTGTACACAGCAAGGTGTGTGGGTGTGGATGGGCTGAGAGATAGCCGCTATGACCGACTGGCTGACTGACGCGGGCGCGCCGCTGCTCTTTTCTACTAGAATTGTCTGGTTGCGTGTCCGTAGCAATAGGAACCATTCCAGAGTTAGGCGAGAAACAGAGCATTTGCTGAATATCACCTAGTCCAGTGGAATCCAGTTCGAGCGAAATCAGAGGGTGAGAGAGGGGGGAAGTAATGAGAGAAAAAGAGAAAGAAGAAAAAAAAATTTTTTTTTTTATCAAAACGAAATAAAAAATAATCAAGAAGAGAAACCAGAAAAAAAAAATTAAATGAAGCCCCATGTCCATCCTCATTAACTCATCTGTGGAAACACCAGTGGGATTGCTGGAATGTGCAAGTCAGGATGACGATGATTAGGCCCCTGCCCCATGCCCTGCGGCGGCTCACCAATCAACAGCGTGACCGCTTGGCGAGGATGACGACTCCAGGGCTTCTCGAAGCTCAGCAAACTTCGAGTCTCTGTTTCACCTCTCCACTAGTCTACTTTGGGTGAACTTGCGACCGGACGAAATCCTTCGTCTTCGCCCAGAGAGGAAAGTCCCTCGCGCTGGGGCGCCGCTGGTTGGCTGCAGTCTCCGGCCAGACCCATGCGGCCGCCCAATCGATCGCGGCCGTCACCCTGGCCCCAACGAGGAGTTAAATTTAAAACCACGCTCTTCAGATGCTGAGTGGATGAGAGCCGGGATCCAGATTCCCCAGTTCTTCAAATGATTGACAGGTCTCAGCTATCAGCGTGTCTCTTTCCCCCCCTCTCTCACACCCCCCTCTGCTAAGCCCAATGAGGGAGGGAAGAACGCATACCTCCATGGGAACCCCACCCCCCACTCCTCTTACTACTTTGTACGTGAAGTTGAAGTGAAGTAGACTAGACGAGTCTAGTCTAGTCTTGTCTTGGGCGTGGTCTGGTTACAGGCGTCTTCTGTCACAGACCTCTGGGACCACGGACGAAGAGGGTGGGAGAAGTTGGGAGGAACCAGCCGGGGCGGTGCGAGGGATCAGGGGTATCTTTTTCCTTTGCCCGCACCGACCGACCGACGCACGCCTATCTGAGAGGCAAAAGTAATGGATGGAGTAGGTACCTACTTACTACGGAGTACTACTAGGTAGGTCCCCATGCACGATGCACACGCATGCTCCGGATGGTATGATAATGATTGGGGTATTTTCTATTGCCGGCTTTTTGACAACCTCCTACCCAAGGTACTTCGTTTCCCCTCTCAAAGGTACCAACCATCTGTTCTGGTCCTTTGGGAATAAAGGGCTGCAACTTGCATCTCCATCAGTCCAAAGAAAAAAAAAATAGTATCACCAATTCCACTTTCTGATGCCACAGGAACTGGATGGATACAGTCCAGCCCAACCTTTCCCATGGTCTCCGTCCTCCTTTCCTCTTTTCCTCTTCTGGCTCGCCTCGACTCGACTCGACAACCTTAAGATCCCACACAGCCACATTCCATGTGACGGCAATGATCCCTGCTAATATTCTCGAATGCCGCCATCACCCTTTTCAGACACTCGTCAATCTCTGCCTGCCTTGGTAGGTTTGATGAGATGTTTCAATTGGACAGTCATTCATCTTGTCCCTGCGCCTGAAGACCTTCAGGCTGTCTGGACTGCTGTCTGGGACTGCCTCCCAACCAACTCCCAACGACTAATCGTAGTAGTATGGGAGGGATCTCACATAACATCGGGCAAATCAGTATTCAGCTAGGCAGGTACCTCGAAGTTACCAACGAGTAGCTGAAGTAAATAGTTGGACTAGTGGTCAAGTCCGCCAGTCGGGCAGTCCGACGCAAAGCCTACTAACATTCATTAACTAAATACTCCTCCATAGTCACCTAAAGGGTACAGCCTTTTCTTCGCCATGGTATCATCCTCGGGCATATTAATAGTAAACCAGAGAAAGGAAATGGGGTAAAAAGAAATTATTAAATTTTCAAGGGAAAAAAAAAAATAATAATAATAATAAAAAAAGAGTAGTCTCCATACCTAGCCTGGCGTTTCAGCTTGGGTTAGTAAAGGCTTGCCCACCTGAGGCGAGCTAGTTCTCCGACCTGATTCTTCAGCACTGACAGTACCTTAATACTGGGGGGAGGAATGGGGGGGAGGAGACACACGATTTCTTCTTTCCTTTAAGGAAAGATTTGGTAATAATGGTTCCGAATAATCCACGCATATTAGATTGCTTGATCTGGCTCTTCGTCATCGCCGGCATCATCAGCACTTTGTCTCATACCTCTCTCCCCATACAGTTTAACCACTGACTCTTGACACTGGGCCTTGTCTGGTTCCTGTGCCTGTCCCTGTTCCTGTTCCTGTTCTCTCTTTCTCTCTCTCTCGCTCTTTTGTCTCTGTCCGTCCCTTTACTCCTTTCTGCTAAATCTCCATTATCCACTTTGCGACTTACTTTCTGCCTTCCTTTTCCTTCCTTAGCTTCCCCCCCATGGTATAACCCCCATGGAATTTCAACTCCATTGTGCTTGAATCGTCCCAGTAGCCTTTTTTATTTTATTTTATTCCTCCCTCTGTCTTCTTTCTCTCCCTCTCTTTCTTTTGCGCACACATTTATTTATTTATTTTTTTTTTTTACCCATTTAATTTACCGTTTATCCTGAACTTGTTTTTCTCTTCCCTCCCTCTCCATCTCACTTTGTCTTTTTTTTTTTTATTTCTTATTTTTCCCTATTTACTATTTTACTTTTTTTTCCCTCTACCTCTACCCTCCACCTAATTTGGCTTCCACAGCCCCTTTCTTTGCAGTTCCTTCACGGTCCCCTAAAAAAGAAAAAGGAAAAAACTCCCAGCTTGGCTGTACAGACAATTCATACATCATACTTACTTACTCCCAACGGGGAGCCCAAGAATAATATTATTTCGCTCCGGGTTAAAATCTAAAAATCCCACCGCGCACAAAGTCCCGAGATCCTAGATCCCGAGCAACAATACCACTACTGCAGTGGGCACCCACTACTACGACGGAAGTAGGTCCTCGGTATTTCCTTTCCTCTTACTACCAAGTACTACTAGTACTACTGGCTTCCTTTGCGACTTGACCACCACTACACTACCACCACCACCACTACTACTACCACCGTCTTTCCACTCAACTTGAACTATCGTCCCTCTTCCACCAACTTTCACCTTCCTTTTCTCGCTGCTTGCCTTTCCTTCAATCGTCCGACGTCCTGTCCAGTCTTCTTCTTTCGCATTCACCTATCTATCCGACGTTTCCCCGCTTACTTTCGCATCCTTGTTTATTCTTATTACCTGCATTCAGATTGCTGGTTCCCTACTAAATAATTAATGATCCTTAATTTGCAGGCCGGTGCACCATTACCCGCTATCAACAAATCATCCTGCTTGGAGAAATTGAACCCTGCGATATTCTCGGACATTGCTTCTCCCTCCTGAAGCCCCGCTCCACGATTAGCAACGACGCGACGAGCCAAATAATAGTATACGTCCCTTCATTTACCGGTGCTTGCGACTCGGTCTGCCCAAACCCATCGACAAGATCCGAGTCTAGGTGGTGGCTATTCACAGTACCCTGCCCGCTAAGGAACGAGTGCGGAGGCGCACCGTTGGAACGAGGGATACCTCATAACAACATATCCTGATAGTCATCGCTATAATTATTTGCGCTTCTGACTTGGTGACATATTTTTTAACTCGACACTTTTCACTGTCTTAGCGCGGCATATTGCATCATCTCGATCCCTCAACTTTACTCGAAATATTAATTTTCGCTGCGCACTTGGGCGGTTCGAGACGATCAGCTTGCCCTTCCTCTTTCTCTGTGCGATTAATGTGCTCTAAGCATACAGTCTTCGGTTTCTCATCGCATCTTATATAGGGCTATGCCCGCGGTTGTCGAGGATAACACTCCGATAATAAGATCAGAAGGCACAGTCATGGAATCTTCCACTGCGGATAAAAAGCGCAACAAGCTTGGATATCATCGCACCTCTGTCGCATGTGGTAAGCTCTCGGTTCTCCGTAGTCTCCGTTGGAATACTCATTTCTTATGCGACAGTACACTGCCGGCGGCGAAAGATCCGATGTCTTGTTGCACCAGATGATGCTCAAGGGCGATGCGAGAATTGTATACGCCTCCGGAAGGAATGCCAATTCTTCCCTGTCGACCAGCAGCCCCCGATCGAGAAGAAGTCACGCCCCAGTTCTCGTTTAGAAACCGCTTCGACGGACCCATCGACCGCTTCTTCGTCACCCCCGAATGTGACTGGGGTAGAGCAAGCGGAGCCTTTCTTTACTTATCAGCCTATGCCGTTGGGTTCGAATTCGGATGTGGGCGCCTTCAATACTGCGACCTTTCCGAGCAACCCAATGGCACCATTTACTCCAGGTTTGTGGCCCTACTGAGCAGGTGGAATGTTGGGGCCAAGTGTGTTGACCATTGCCTGGAACAGATCGCAGCGTTGGTGCGGAATTTGTAGGTCCCCCTCCCATGGAAACCGGGGTTCCGTGGGACGAGTATACGACCATCACAGACCCTCAAATGTTAGCGGCTATGCCCGCGGGGAAAGCGATGATGAACATGTCTACGAACGTTTGGGGTGCGACACCCAATCCCATGGCACCGATGCCAACCACTTCGCCCCTGCCAGGAACGCCCACGGTTCCGTCGCAGTCGCAAGGCCTGGCACAGACACCCACGTATGCCATGCAGCCTGATGGGACGGTCTGGCAAGTACCGCCAACACGTGCGATGACATTTTCGGCACAACCCGCAGACATGGCAATTCCGTATCCGAACCAAGGTCAATTCGTGCAGCCGTCGCCGGCAGATCTCAAGAGAAGGATGACCAGCCCGGCCCAGTCTTTCCCCGGAACTCCAATCAACCCCCAGAGTCCTCCTGCAGCGGATCTACAGTCGGTATCCGTCTCATACCCAGGCCAGCCGGCCGCTATGGGATTCAACACCTGGCAGGATGTGAACAGCATGTCCCCCATGAGTGTGGTCCAGTATCCGATGTACACGAACGATGCAGCCGCCCAGCAAGCAGGGTTTGGCAGCCCGCCACCAATGGGCCACCCCGGTCCAGGCCAATCCCCGCAATAATGAGCTCGAGAAGAGCGGAGATGACAAGCGCTTCAGAAGGAAAACAAAAAGCATCATCGGATTCGCTATTCAAATACCCCGTGCGACGTATTGCATCCATTTCTTTATCTCACTTCTTTCCCATATCATTCCATCCCATGCATGCACCTTTACTTTTACCGGCTGGTCATTAGCGGGCGCAGAGGATCTTGGGCGGTATTTTACTCTTCGTTTGTTCCATGAGACCCCTTTCCTCTTGATTGAGGCATCATCTATTTACATGCGCGGCTCAGGGAGCAAGTTCTTCTAGACTCTCTTTCGTTGCTCTCCGGTTTTTCATTTCATCAATTTGCTTTTGTTTGTTTCACCTACTGTTCACATTAGCTTTGGATATCCACGGTGGGGTTCATGAGCTACGCATTCAGCCACCAGCGGGACAGGTGTCTGATCATTGGTTTTGAGTGGCGTTACCGGCCTAGTCCAGTCTCATATGCTGATCCTGGCGCTGTCATGCAGCTCTCGATCGAAGACTAGTCTGGACCGGCCCGACTCTTATGATTTCGTTTGCTTTGCTTCAGTCCCCTGCCATGCACCTAGTCACGCTCGTTGTCGACGAGTCGGTTGATAAGGGCAGACAGACGGATGGAAGGAAAGTGGCCATGTTTATGCTTTTGCTTGCTGCTTTCTTATTGACATAGACTCCCCTATAAGCCACCCTCTACCTCTAGTACCCGATCATTATGGAATAGAAAACGGCACACAACTGCCTCTTAGTTCACTGCAGATCCCACACGGTCTTTCGTTTTCCCCAACTACTCCTCTCGTGCGTAAATCAGAATCCCTTTGGTCTATGGCGCATATGATATAGAGTATGCCTCTTCCTTGGACTTATCATGGCAATTGTAATATGCCGTACCCGTTTAAGTGGCTCTTGTATCATTTTATTAGGCTCCTTGATGTAGCTGCACTCAGATAAATAATGTTTTTTTCTGCTCAGTCACACCGGTAGGAGATGCATAATACTAGCCAGCAGTCGCTGAAAGGAACTAGAATGGAGCCAGAACGCAATGGTTAGTGCCAGCAACAGCAATGTCCGCTGCATCCAAGAGTCAACCAGTTACCTTTAGCTCTAGAATCATCATAATGTGTAATTACTCCACATATCAGCTTCTCACATACCATCAGTGCATAGATTCTGCAGCCAGTCCTTTCACATCGGAAGCTTTCTACAAGAATCTCTTCTGGAAACACTTGATACGAGAGCAAGCGGATCGAGATTTCCGCAGTACAGATCCCAGCCAGGTTCCGTCACATGTTTGTGATATACACCCCAGGTCTAGATTGCATTTCTAGATGGACTCATTTGTCGACGCGCAGTAGCCACCGCATTGGTTTGTGCGACTGACACCCAAACATCCCAGCACTCTATTGCCTTCTACGTGAAGTAATTCTGCTTACTGCCATCACAACATATTCCTTCAAGACGCCAGCCAGACCAGAAATGACATCATCGGTGTGACGCGATCTGGACGCATCCCGATTAGGCAGGCACAGGGTGGTCACGAGGAGCCCTTTTGTAGAAGAGAGTTACTACAGAGTCAACTCTCACTCCAGTTTACTCTTTACTACACCATCTTCACCCTCACAGCACCATTCCGAACTACATGCTGTCTGCTATCCTGCTGATGTACCCATGAAGATACGTCACAGGCAAATTGCTTTTTGTATGTTTGCTTTTCCCGCACCATGTCGATAACACCGTAACACTGACAATGTGATTGGAAGATTCCCCGACCCTTGCTAGCTGCAACGGCGATCAGAAGAACAGACAGGACACCTAAGCAATAGCTTGCCGTCCATTGTTCATCCGAATGACAACCCCGGGCCAAACGGATCTTCGGGCTTGGTTGACTGATAAACACCTTCACAGACGGATCTGCCAATAATAGGGGCTTTCTGCAGTATTGCTTATCACACTGTCGGATACGCCTGGCGGGATGAAACCGGAGCAGACCAGGAGAAAGTATATTTGCTCCGAGGTGATAACGATCCTCTGATAAGCTCGGTCGGGGATCGAATTTCGTCAGAGTACAGAGTGTCCGGAGCGGAACCATGTTGAAGGAATGCTGTGTCGCTGCTCACAGTCTTGTAGGCTTTGCTCTGTGGCCTTCTGCGGGACTTGAGTATGCCGGGTATGAGTCACTGGCCTTTCAGAAGTGATCGGTGCGTGTTGTGTGTGTGGAAGTGTGGGTATGGGGGTGTGTATGTGTGCGCGCCACCGATCGTTCGGTCTGGGGTCCGATAATGCGGAGAGCAACAGCCTCACTTTATTAATATCATTAACGGCCCTGATAGCCAGCATTAGCTGGGTTGATAACAGCTGTCATGCTGCAATCTGATTGCCCCTTTGGTGATGATTGCAGGCTCAAGGTACCAGGTTCAGCATCCACGACGTGACGTGTCTGTGCTTTTCTGGCCTTATCTCCAGGCTGTCCGGGCGTCTCGATGGCGACAATATGCATAGTTATCAATATGATTATCGCGACTCCTGGCCGATGGTCGGCGAGGGCCCCTGTTTTTAGAGGGCGCTCCTCCAGTACAAAATCCGGTGCTGCTCCCATTGGGCTGAGACTTCTGATCTCTTCGCCCAGCGACAGGGACTGACAAGTGAGAACCTGGTTGACCGCCATTCACCTGTGATGCCTTATCGCGCTCCTGTGGGGGGCTGTATGCGGTTAGTAGAAGCCAGTCCACCACTTTGGGCGCTGAAGGCCTTTTCCTGGAGTTTTGTGGGTCATATATAAACACTGTAAGTCGAAGTGGTCGACAGTGACTGCTGGCCTTTCGGTTCCTCCTTGTTCCTCTGGCATTTATTCCCCCCTTTCGTCGCACACGGCAGACAAGGCTATTGTTTGAGCTCTTTTATTTTCTCACGATGCTCTCAAACCATCGGTATATAAGAGAAGCCGTGTGTGTACTGTGGATAAAGCCCAGTTTTAACGCTGACTCTAGTGCCCCATTTTACCCCCAAACTATCTCCACGCCCTCCCCGTCCCGACCCATCGGTTCATGCTAGTATCTCTTGTATATGTACACACTTACTCGCAACTAGGGGACATGCTACTGGCACATGCAGACACTCTTTGACGACGCAGTCATTACCTTCTTGCATTGCTAGTCAACCCTCCTTTCACGGTCGCATTTGATCTTCGCAAAACTCTCTCGACCGCACCAGTCAGGCTTCATCAGGCATTCCCTCTCAGCATACGACGACCCTCCATGGGCATGCTGGCACATCTTATTTCCACAGTTCCTGCACACTTGATGCGGGAAAAGCTCATTGCAGGGGTTCAGGCTGTATTGCATTGTCTGAATTTCCGGCAGACCCGCGCCAGCCGCGAGAAAATCGAACCGATCCTAGCGTGGGGGGGGTAGGAATATGCCGGAAGACGAATGTTTTCGCTATCAACTTTGGTCGGATGTAATCTTTTATGCTCATGATTGACATCTCCGGTGCAATTCTGATGACTATTATCTGTCTTCCGATTGATGCTGCCTGACAGCGGCGCATGACGCCTCGATCCACATTTGAACAAAACAGGAAGGACTTATTGAACCTTCCACAGACTGGAGACAGAGTGGGAGACGAAAATGGGAAATCTGCCGAGGCTGGAAGATGGGGTGAAGGCTACCCCAATAGTCGACACGGAATATGGGGCGGATGTCTTCCGGGTGCGTTCCGCCCACTGATGACGTCTCAGATCGTCCCCGGCGACGCGGTATGCTGGTCCAGTCGGTCGGTGACGTTGCCTGATTATGATATTGCATGATGCGAAGAGATCAACCTTCTGGTGCTATACGGGAGTTTTTCACGCCGAGCCCTTGAAATTAACATTCTAATGATATTGTTGAGGGGTCATAGAACAGGTTTGACTATGGTGGGCCGGAAGCTCGATTTGCCGCACGCCAGAGGGAAACTCCAAAGTACAGCTATCCCAGACACTCTTAGCGACGGTGTACTTACTTGGGCTGGTTAGCTCAGGCACGCATCTGTGCTTCATAAGACCGATTTCCTGTTCGAGCGTCCCGCCGGAAGTTGGTCGCTGCATCCGGACCAAAAGGGAGTAGTCATACCCCGTCTTATTCTAGGTTTGCGTGGCGCTGGCTCAGGAATTCTGGAGATGCGAATTGTCAACACTATTGATGATGATTACAGAATATAGGAATGACTTGGAACGGGCCTTATTGGGCGTGTCCGTGGACCATGAGGTAGACAGGCTGGAGACTACTGTCGATCGATGGGCATTTTCCGACCAACGGAGTTAAGGCCGGGCGGGTGAGTCAGCCGGATCCGTGCACGGCGCCACTCGCCCGCTTTGCCTTCCTCCCAAGGCTCCTGTCTATTCCCGTCGAACTCTATTGCTTTTGCCACGGCCCCAATACTCCCCCCCAAAACCAATGACTGGCTGCGCTTGATATTCCCCTTTCACATGCTGGCTGACCTTGTGCTTGCTTCGGGTTTTATCCTTTTGTTGACCAAATATTTTTGTTGGTCTTACCCCAGCCTGGTCGTCCTTTTGGAGCCAGGCGACCGGGAGCGGCAATCGTGGCATGCATCTTGAGAGTACTCCATCGCTTCGAAGTGACCCCGATTGACGGACGGCCATTGGCCGCGATGACCAAGGTCCATTACATGCTTATCTGCTTATCTGCGACTGTTATCTCCAGGACATCGTGGGTAGCGTGGGAGACCGTGATTATGGAGCACTAGTGCGGTGGACCTCGCGGTTGTTCCTCCCGTGGGGCCGAAACGTGCTTGAGAACCAGTACAGAAGCAATCAACGACTCATGCTGGCGCGTACAGAAGGGGCAGCTTACTGTGGTCACTATCTACTGCCTGTGCAGGCATGCAGTGGCCAAGCGACTGTCCTGTGCTCGGTTGCCCTTTTCTCAATACATGATCCATCCGGCAGGACACCCACTCTTTCCGGCCAACGATGATGGCTAACGGCTTCCCTGGACAACCTTGTTTGGGCTTGGCAATATCTCATACGCCTCGATCATCAGCCGTGTTATTTGTTAACTGCTTATTATGACTCGCCACTTGCAGGGGTTTCTAAAGTACTAGGAAACGCCTCTTGCACCGTGCTTTTGCCCGGGGCGGCGCCCGCACCAGTGTTGCAGTAAATAGGGATTAGTACCGAAGAAGAGCCTGATGAGCACTACCGTCATGATTACCGTTGACCAGGGCCCTGGGCTAAAGCCGGTTAATACGACGACGCGCCAGGACGAGGCTGTGAACCGACTACTGCATCATCATGCACTGCAGCTGCAGGATCGGATAGTTCTGGCCAACGAGTGATCTGGCCCAACTCAAGAGGAAGCATGTCGGGCGGGCAGGCACAACTGGGGGAGGAGATGGAGAGCTTCATCCTCTGGTTGAATCAGAGCAACAAAGGGACCCCGCAACCATGGGTGGATCCACATGCATCAAGATGAATCGTGGATTTCTCCCTGATTAATATCTCTGCACCTGGGAGTGGAACAAAGGCAGCTATGAGGCTGTAGGGATTACTCGTAGCAGCAGTGGCTAGCCCTGCTGGTGTACTGCCTATGCTTACTAGGGGGTGGTTTAGTCGATGCTTGTTACGCGCTTGAAACGCCTCTGACCAAACCCGTCAATACCGCAGTGGGTTACCGGGTCATACGCGGATCGGGTAAGATAGGGAAAGCCAGCTCCGGTGAGCATCCCGTAGTAAGTAGATTCCAACCAGACAGCCTGACGATGAGGAAGGTTGCCAACTTACGAGGGTCGGTCTCGTACCTGCTTCGGGTCTCCCCCTAGGCCGTCTTCTGCTGCCTGCGGCCAATTCTCCATTTTGCGAGATGAGGGTGGAGAGTTGGTCCGACGACACCTTGTCCGCGGGCTGGCCGTTGGCTGGCCTCCCCGGAAACCTGCCTCCAGAGGGGTGGCCAACACGGCTGCTCGAGTCCACCGTGTCCGCAAGAGGACAGCAACCTTAAATTGGACGGTCTCGTGTCGCAGGCTAGCAGCATGGACGGTGGCCAGCCATGTGCCTGACGGTGGGCTATGAGTGTGGCCTCCATCCACGCGATGGAGAGAGAACTGGATCACTCGAGGGCTCGGGGGTCGTCCGGGCCAGGCGGACAGCCCGATGGTGGACAGGTCCCGCCCCGCCGCTAGTGCCAGCGTCGAGGACATCGGGACGATGCGCTCGCTCACTGGTGGTGGCTGGCCTGTCGTCCTTGTTCCTCCTACGTCCGGAGAAGAGGTCCGATGAGCGGAGCAGGCCCTGACCCGTTGCTAAGTGTGGAAGGGGTCGCCGGTCAGCTACGCAGTGTCGGAAATTCCAGAGAGGAAGGGTGCACGGTATGCTGTCCTGCAGGAGCGTCCAAGTGGACACGGTCATTTAACCATCGGGCCGATGGGACAGACCAAAGATGGATCATGCATGCAAGCGCACAGTCCAGGCTTAATAGATTTGATTCCAACAAGGTCAGGGTTAAGGTAGTGACTAGAGGAGCGACTATCGTGCGCTCAGATCGCATTATTACAAGCGATAACAACAGCTTTATATGAGATTTCGGCCGACGATAGGGGGGTAAGCTTTTTAGTCAAGCGAAGCATCGGCTGATCACAATCCCAGTCCATCCCGGCCCCTCAGTCGGTGGGAGTATACTTGATTTACATTGATGATTTGTATGAAGCCAACAAGGACTGGCGCGCGCGATGTGTCAGAGGCGAGTCGATGGTTGTGGCGAGGAGGACTACGGGAGGTATCTACTGTACTACTAAGTAGTGAGTGGCACAGGAAACCTAATCCCCGAGGAGGGTCGCGGAGCTCGCTGGCCCGAATACCTAGGGGACAAGACAATTCGTATACATCAGATTGAGCAGCAGCAGCAGCCGACTACCACAACTGGGAAGTAAGTTATGTCGGGGTTTTCAGGACTCGGATTGTTTTACCATAGGCTGGGCATGACTGCGACAAGCCAGCGACGGTCGGCCCTTACGGTCGCTTGGCGGGCGATGATTGGTGGGGGAATTCAGGCCAATTCCTGGCTCCGAATCAGGATCCGGATCGGTCTGCTGCATCCATCTTTTTAGTCGCATCCCTCTGCTTGGATGGAGAGTCTAACTAGTCATGGTGCGTGTCTTGGGTCTTGGGGTGAGAAAAGCAAGCTACCGAGTTTAGTTCAGTTGACTGTGTCGTGATGATCTCGACCCGTCGTGCGTGTCAGGTAGACTGACTGACAGCCAGACATACTATACTAGATCAACAAATACACCATCGTTTCCGAGACGGATGATCAGGGAGGAGAGAGCAAGTAAGTCTCGAGAGGAGACTAGTACTATGCGAGAAGAGAAGCATGGATGGGTTAATCTAAACGGACGGCGCTACTGCAGCTTTAGTGGCTTCGAGAAACGCCAAAAACCCATCCCGACCCGCGCCACTGGCCAGGCCGACCGTCACGGTATTACATGGGTATGGAACCAAGCTGCAGAGACGCAGCTAGTAAGGATACTTACTTACTTAGTACTATAGTAGGAGAGAAACAACGTATTCCCAACAAGTAGCAGGGGAAAAAGGAGGGGCAATGAGTTGGAGGTGGTTGGAGGTCATAATGGGGATTGTATATAATATATCCTGTATACCATTGTTACTCCAGGCTTGTTGTTACTGCTGCTGCCAGGACATTGAATTGACGTGAATTGTTGATGTTGTTGCTGCTGCAGTGAATCTTGAATTTCCATTTACCATTCATTCAGTTCCAAACTTCGCAGTTCTGCTACTTACGGCGGGAAGCTAAAAATTCCGGCAGAATCCCGGTGGGCAAATCAGCGTGGATGCGCAGGGACGTTCCTCGCGCATTGTGACTGGTTCTTGGGTCACTGAAACTCCAACCCACCCGTGGATGGAGGCAACAGCATCCACCGGGCATCTGGCTTGTGAATGAAAGGTTGGTTGCTTTAAGAGAATCAAAGAAGCAGCAGCAGCAAAATAGTTGTTCAACTGAGTGAAGTGAGTCAGTGATACCCTTTTTCCCAAATCAATTCCCCACTTCGTCCTTCACAGGGAAAGAAAAGAAAAGAAAAGAAAAGAAAAGAAAAGAAAAGAAAAGAGAAAAAGGGAAACGAAAAAAACAAGAGAGGGGCAAAAGTTCTTCTGTTCTTGTTCCTGTTCTTCTTTTCTTTTTGACAGACAACTAAACTGACTGACTGTCTCTTGTTCTTGTAATAATTAAGGCCCGACCTTGACTGGATTAGACTTGCAGCCCTTCTCTCCACTTCCGGTGTCCACTTTCCACTCTCCGGCTCCGTCATCTACTACTAGAAGGTATCGCATTATTATTCATCTCCACGGCTGTTGCTGCGCTCTCTCTCTCTCTCTCTCTCTCTCTTACTCTTCCTCTCTCTCTCGCGCTCTCGCCTTCTCATCTTATTATTTCCCCTCTCCTCTTATTTCTTCTCCGGGCCCCCTCCCCAGTCTGTTTTCTTATCTCCCTCCCGGCTGGAATCTTGTCCCAATTTTATCTATCATTATTTTTTTATACTTTTTCTTTTTTGATGTACCGTTATTGATTGCATTTTAACATTGCCTTTTTCTTCTCTCAAGTCAGCCTACCAGCGCGTCATGTGCATCGGGAGGGTCTAGCCCCCCCTCGCCGGTCAAGCCATCAGCATCATCATCCTGCATCCTCACAATCCTCGCTCACCCATTCCTTCGGATTCGCCTCCTCACTCTTCACTGCTTCCCCCCCCCCCCTTCTACGTCACATCTAGGAGGAACAAAAATCCCATCTGATCCATTGGGTTTCCATAAGAGGGGGAAAAACGAATAAAAATAAGAGATCGACAAAGGAATATAAAATTACAAAAAGGAAATCGGACATCAAGCAGAAGAAAGAATTACCCGCCGCGAGATTGCTCGTGGACGGATTAGCTGCAAGGCTAGGGATTTTTCTAAAAGGTACGCACACCCTGAACAACATCCACACACATACACCTTCTTGTCTTTTTTTTTTTTTTTTTTTTTTTTTTTTTTTTTTTTTTTTTTTTTTTTTTTTTTTTTTTTTTGTTTCGATTGTATTATTTTATTTTATTTTTATTTGATTTCCTGTCGGACGGATCCCGCCGCAGACGACGGAAGGGGAAAAGAAAAAGAAAAGAAGGGAAAAGGAAGAGGAAAAGCCGGGGGGGAATGCAGTCCATGCAAGCCACTTGCATCTGGAGAGGGAGGGGGAAGGGACGACAAGAAAAAAAAGAAAAAGAAAAAGATAATATGATGATGATTGTTTATGATTATTATTATTGTTATTATTGTTATTACTATTTCCTGCCGTTGCTACTTGCTACTACTTGCGACTACTAGTTGATCTCACCACTGACCTGCTCCCGATCCTAGCTCCCGTTGTCCTGCTGCTGCTGCTAACTACTTTGCTACTACTGCACCTCGTTTTGACTTTCGACAACCACCATTACTACTTTGCGCTTACTCCCAACTTACTTCTTTTTCGATTCTTCTTTTTTTGATCGCTTTTTTAGTTCTGGTTTTCTTTTTGATTTATTTATTTTCTTTTTTTTTCGACTTCCCTTCCCCATCCTTTTGGGGGGAAAACGATCGAACCCCTCCCACACAGTCCAGTCTTGTCTCGCCGCGATCCTCCGAGACAGACAGAACAAGACACAGACACAAGACAGCGGAGACCACCTATACATCCAATTTGGAGATATCCGATTGATTATTATTGTCCAGGGTCTGGCTGAATCTGGTCGTTTACGGCGGGTAGCCTGGAATTCCTCGTGCTGCGACCACCGGCCAATTGAGCGCGGCTTGCCTCAATTCGCTTTCCTTCGCTCTTCCTTTTCCGCCCTTTAATCCGGGCCTCCTCTTCTTTCCCTCCCTCGCCGCTTATCTTTCGCCGTCGACTCTCTCTGGTCGTTCGCCGTCCTCTCGCCTTTTCCCCAGTCTTTCCCCTCCCCTCCATCCCTATCTCTCCTCCTGCACCTCCCTTATCTTTTTCCTTTTTTTTCTTCCATCGATTTTCCTTTCTTTTTTTTTCCCTCATTTAATTTATTTCTCTTTTGGGGGGGTGACTCGCTACTCTCTCTGTTACTTACTACCTTACCTTTTACTTTTCTCCGCCTTTATTTCGTGTGCCCCCTTGAGGGCTTCCTCCAATCAGACAACCATGTCCGGGTTGACCCTGGGGGGAGGAGGCAGTGGTGGTGGTGTGCGACCGACGCAACCCGCGGCCTTTACTTCTCTCCAGGATTCCGCCGACGCCGACCGCCGCTCCTCCACCACCACCTCCCACAACCCCCTCCACTTCCCTCCGACTTCCTCTCAACTCTCTGACGATTTCTCCTTTGGCTCCCCAATCAGCCCTGCTGATTCCTCGAATGCCCCCGACAGTCTGCTTAACGACTCTCTGTTTCCGGAATGGAAGGTCGGTACGCCTCGCCCCGGATTTGATGGTCCGGATGAGATGCAACGAAAGGATCCATTAGCCACCCAGATATGGAAGTTGTATTCGCGGACTAAAGCTCAGTTACCCAACCAAGAGCGCATGGAGAACCTGACGTGGCGGATGATGGCTATGAGTTTGAAACGCAAGGAACGGGAACGTGCTCAGCAATCTCGGTAGGTGGAGTGCCTCGTCAATCCTCTGTTCCTCCTCCCCCCTGCCGTCGCTCGATGGAATGCTGATCGAACTTCGTGCGTCAATAGTAGTGCCTCCGCTCGAAACAGCGTCTCCGGCCCTAGTGGCATTGCTCAACTGCGTCTCACTGATCGCGAGCCGACCGCGGCAAATCCCTCTCTCTCCACCGACCTGACCTCTGATCCTATGAACCTCGACGATTTCATTGTTCCCTTCGAGTCTCCGTCCGATCACCCATCTCCCCAAGTCACAAAAGGCGAGTCAACGTCGGCAGCCATCCCGATCAAGTCCCGCAAGGACCAGGTGGCTGAGTCCACGCCCGTGCCCGCTTCGTTCCCCCACCCACCCCAGGACCAGCGAAGAAACAGCGAGTTCGGCTACGTACCTCGTCGGGTGCGCAAGACGAGCATCGACGAGCGCCAGTTCTTCAACCTCCAGGTGCCCACCCGGAAACGCCCGGCCGAGGCGTCGCCCCAGGTGCCGCCCGTGTCGAACGCGATGTTGGCTCAGGATCCGGACTTGTCGGGCGGTGTGCCT